CTCACACAAGAACACACACGCACACACACACACACATAAGCACAAAACACGCACACGCACTCACATGCAGTGTTTGGATGGCGAATGACGCCCGATGGCGACACGGAGCCGTGATCCAGGGCGAGCTCCTGGCATGGAACACCAATGCAGTGCGGCGTGACACCGCTCCACGAGCCATCTGTCTTGCACGACAGCTTGTCGTTGCTCTCAATCAGGTAGCCCGTGGCGCACGTGTACGTTGCCGTGCTCGGGTACTTGCGGCTGTTGCTTGTTGTAAATGAAGCGTGGTTGACCGTCGGGGGCGTCGTGCACGCAATGCCGACGCACGAGCCCGCGCTTGTGCCGCCGCAGCCCGACAGGTAGTAGCCAGCACTGCAGCTGCCACACGCGCTGCAGCTGTGCGTTCCTTGCGTCGTCTTGTATGTCCTGCAAGCAAGGCGTTGCGTTTGTTCGTGTGTGGTTGTGTGTGAGTGGTGTGGCGAATGAGTGCAGTGGAGAGAGAGAGAGAGGGAGAGAGAGAGAGAGAGAGAGAGAGAGAGAGAGAGAGAGAGAGAGAGAGAGAGAGAGAGAGAGAGGGAGGGAGAGAGAGAGGGAGAGAGTGTGTGTGTGTGTGCGAGCGAGAGAGAGAGAGTGTGTGTGTGTGTGTGTGTGTGTGTGTGAGAGAGAGAGAGAGAGAGAGAGAGAGAGAGAGAGAGAGAGAGAGAGAGGGAGAGGGAGAGGGAGAGAGAGAGAGAGAGAGAGAGAGAGAGAGAGAGAGAGAGAGAGAGAGAGTAAGAGAGAGTACGCGTGGTCTCGTGGTCACGCAAGCGCTGAAGGAGCAATGATCATGATCACGTGACAACGTGTCCAGACGCCACAGACCACAGTTTCACACACAACAGGCATACCGCAACTGACTCTGGATTGCAGTTGGCGCAGTCGCCTGAGCTTGTGCCGGAGCAGCCTCGTCGCTCCTGCCCTGCTGGGCACGATGCACACGAGGTGCACGTGCCGCCACTGGTGCCGCCGCAGTTGGCACGGAACTGCCCAGACGAGCACGAACCACACGGGGTGCAGGAGCTGGCGCCCGCGCTTGGGCTGTAGTACGGCGTGTTGCACGCGCTGCACGACGTGCCGCTGCCAGCGTAGCCGGCATTGCACGAGCACGAGCCATCACAAGACGTATCACAACTAATGCCAACGCACTCATCGCAGCCCGTGTTGCAGCTGCCATCGCAACCCCTGCACACCAAGTAAATGCATTGAATGAGTTGTGTGAGACGGAGAGGCATCGCAGAGGCACAATCGTGTGCAGCGCAGACAATAGCAACGGCAGCTTACGTGTTGCATGGTCCGTCACAAGAGTCATCGCAGCCGCCGTTGCAATTCGTCGCGACGCAGTAATCGCATCCTTGGTTGCAGCCTGTTCGTGAAGATTAGCAAGCGATCCCATGTGAATAACAAGCCAACGGTGGCAGACATGGCATTGGGTCGAGCGGCATGAACATAGCGACATTTATGCTGTGCCATACATCAGACAACAGGTACTGACCGGTGTCACAATAGTCATCGCAACTGTAGTCGCAGCTCGCTGTTCCATGGATGGTTGGAAGGAAGCAAAGGCGACACATTTTTTGGAAGCGAGAATGGTGAGGGAGCGGCGGGTGTGTGTGCGTGTGTGGCTGTGAATGCGAGCTGAACTTGGTCTTGTGTCTGCGGACTGCAGACAAGCTGGTGGGTGTGACTATGTGTCTCTATGCTGTGAGATGCATGCGAAAACACGAGACAAGCAGGACGAGTAAGCAGCATCAGGGGCAGCGACTGTACTTACTCCAGCCACAGCTTTCATCGCAGCTGCTGTCGCAGTCCCACCATAGGGTATCGCAGCTTGAGTCGCATCCACTGATGAATTGAAACACCAATTAGTTTACACATTGGTGTGAGAAAAGCACGAGGGGAAAGCAGAAACGCAGACAGATATGCATACACACACACGCGCGCACACACACATAAACACACACACACACACACTCACACAAACAATCGACCAGACTTCAACACTGTACTGACGAGTTGCATTGGTAAAGGTCACAACCATCACAGCCTCCGTCACATCCTGTGTTGCACGCCAGATCGCAGCTGCTGCATCTGCAAGCCATGAACAGAACGACAGCACAGGGGGGGGGGTCACGCAATGAGAGGCGGCCGAGTATCGAGAGCACAGTACATCATCAGTCGGAAGGGAAGTATGTGCAAAAGCAATCATGACAGCACGCGTACGATTGGCCGTAGCAAATGTCGCAGCTTGTGTCGCAGCTTGAGCACGTGTCGTCGCAGAGCGTGTTGCAGGAGTCATCGCAGCCAGTACACGATTGCCTGCACACCACAAAGTAGCACACAGCCGAGGAAATTGTTAATCTGGCCAGCGTAGCGCAAGAAGACGAGAACCAGTGCGCAAGACTGCCCACGCCAAGTCTAACGCGTTCATCAAGCAAAGCAGCGGTATGTAACTCACCCATCACAGCCCGCGTTGCATGCACTGTTGCATGTGTACGAAGCCGTGACTGTCGCACGCTTTTGTCGAGTGTTCTAGAGGCGTGACGTGACAGCAGTACGGCAGACACTGTGAGATGGGGCCACGAAGAAAGGGGTACGCACACACATGCACACACACGCACACAGACAAACAGCCGCAATGATCACACTGACCGCGAGTGCTTCTTTGCGGAAGCGAGGTGACGTCACGTCCACGGGCATCTTGCCCTGTGCGCAGAGCTCGCTGACGACGGCCCGGGCCGTGTCCTCGCTGCACACGCGGTCAGCCAGCGCCTCGATGCCGTCCGGGTTGAGGAACGCCTCCAGGTCGTTGGCCTTGGCGTATGACTCGAGCACGTGCGGCAGCATCGCTTCGCACTGGGCCATGAACGACCCGATAAAAGCCGTAAGCTCCTCGCCCTCCTCACCGCCGGTCGTGCCCTCCTCGCTCGTGCCATCGTCCTTCTCCTTGGTGGCGTCGTGGCTCGGGCACAGCGCGCCCGTGTTGAGGTGCCAGGACGGCATGGCCTCCAGCAGCTGCACGCCGCGGTAGTCGCTGATGAGCGACTGCAGCGCCCGCTGCCAGTGCTTGGTGAAGGCCGGGTTGTCCACAATGTCTGCGCCGGCGTGTGCGGCGTACACGAGCGCATCGGCCCATGCCAGGCCCCTGCGCTCCAGCGAGATGGTGAGGTGGGATGAGCCCTCTGCGCCAGACACGGCGTAGTGGATGATGCCCTTGGGCATGTACATGGTGTCGCCGGCACGCAGCGTGAACTCGTTGCAGCGCATGCCGCGCAGGTCCCTGTCCTCGTAGCGCGTGCACCCTTCTTGCTTCTGGCGCCGGATCTCCTGCAGCTGGCCCAGCTGGGCCGGGTTGAACTGCTTGATGGTCTCTGCCTCGCCGTGGCCGTGCTGTTGTTGGTCGTTGCTGGACGAAGCAGCTTTCTCATCGGGGTGGCTGTCGCTGTGGTCCTCCGTGGTGTCGTCGCTGCCGCTGGTGGCGTATGCGTCTGGGATGCAGGTTGTCCAGCGCTTTGAGCCGTGAAGCTGAATCACGAGGACATCGTAGGGGTCTGTGTGCGGCATGAGGGCGCGCGACTCGTTCTGCGTGGCGTGGTACAGGTGCACGGTGGACTCTGTGCCAAACACGTCGCGCACGCCTTCCTGCAGCTGCTTGACGTTGTCCTCTGCGGGGAAGTCCACGAGGTCCTCGTAGCGGATAAGCAAGCCAG